TTCCTGAGCAAGAGAATCAGTCATGTGGGAAGGACCGGGCGCAGCAACAACTGTGACGACAGCTGTCATAATTGTCTCGCATTTATCAAGAGCGCATCCGACGCTGACAAGCAAACTTTGGCAATTAATGAGCCTTCGCCGCACCACTTAAGACCTCAAACGGTGGGTACGGGAACTGACAATTATGGTACGCATGTGGATGACCGCTACGAACTATAAATACCATGCAGCCTGTGCATGCATCAACCTTATCTTTGTATGTCTCCTACTTTCCTACAATGACCTATGATTAAGGATTCTCGACATAACCCGAATCGTCAGGAAAATAAAACTCTTGTTCCAGCGATCGCATCTTCTTCTTCTGAACTGCCTCCTGGAACTCGCATATTCTCCTCTATTTTCAGTGGATTTCGTCCAAATCGATTCTTGTATTGTCGTGGTAGACTCAGGATTGCCTAGGAATTTTTGCTTATGCAGTCAGCATACAAGCCCTTATAACTGTAGGCTAAACGGCTAAGGTAGCCCTAATAGGATTAGAATCTCGAATTCCGGTTAGATCTTGCATATCGAGTGAGCACATTTTCAGATGTTCTCAAGCCTTGTGCTTATAGGCATGGGTTCGAAACACATCGAGGTAGAATTGAATTTAATTAATTACTAAAATCTACTATTGAATCGAAGTCTAAGATGAACACGATGAATATTCCTTTTTTACTTAAAATCCGCCAACCGATGATTTTTACTTAAAGCTTTCGTGATTCCTTTCACCTGTCGGGACCCTCCATCGGTCCATTGCGAACCTCTTTTGAGGTGTCTCCTTTTGGGGTCAGCACATTTGTCCGTATCTAGAACTTATTGAGCCCTTTGCTACCATTACGTCACCTGGCATTAAACACTTTCAAGACAAATCACACCTAAATACAGGACATCCCATTAGAAAGGTCTTATTCTTTCATTTTGATTCGCACAGTTTTAGCAAACAGCATTGCGCCTACTCTTTACCTCGTAAGGTGCGTTGCGAGCTGACGAACCGACATTTGTGAACCTACGCATGTTTAAGGACGACCTTGTTCTTGAGGCTGCTGACTACGTATCTCGACTCGTATTCTTCAAGTCTAGTACCACTATGCTTTTTGCACAGTTTAGTGACGTGTTTGATGAAACTAGCACACACATGCAATAGCAGTTAAACCGACAACCTTGTCAGATCGGACGCTACATCAATTTCGGACAGAACACGAGTCGAAGGCAGTTTTCAGCGAAGATGTTTGTGGTTTCCAAGGGCCTTATATGAGAAGTAGTAGATATGATCGCTGCGGCAGGAATTTAATCCTTCTGACTTTTCGAAATCCTTCACGGATCCATAATCAGAGAGGATAACAGGCACGAGTAAATAATACATAGGGATTTGCAGCATTTAAGGCATACAGCCCTTTTGCTGCTCCATACCTA